TTTTTTTAATTTGGATATATGTTTTAGTATGTTATAAGTCGAATATGAGAATTTGAGTCAAATCGGTGAACATGAATTTGACAGCTAATGCCCCTTTAAGGTAAAACAGCCATATATTTTAAACAGTTGATAAACATAAAGTGAGCCTCTTTTAATTCCTATTTTCAGTATAAACCATATTAACCTACTATTACTTTTTTTTTATTTGATTTGCATGTTCACTTTATATATATAGCTTATACATATAATTTTCCAATAACTTTTACATAGTCGCTTTTATTTTGTTATTTAGCACTTTTGTTTTGATTTTTTTTTGCATTGCAGACAAGTGGACATGGAAAAATGAGGTAGTTTCTATATTTTTTATCAAATAGGCTTTTAATGTTTCAGCAGTTTTTAAAAGTTATTTTTATCAAGGAAGATAGACATAAGTATAACTTTTCCAACTTCAATATCATTATAGTGAAATGTTTAGTCGTCAGAATACGTCTATTTTAGAATAGTTCATTATGATAGACCATATATATTTTTTATATTGTTGCAAAAAAAACCACACATCTTAGTTGATAGAAGTATATTGTGCCTTATTTTCTCAGTCTTGACCAGGAGACTTTTTGTTGATGTCCTACATGGTAAACATGAATATGTCTTTTCTGATTTTATTGTGTTGTTGCTGTCTCATTGATATACACCCAAACCCCCACACACAAACACACATATACACTGATACTTGTGCATGCACACATATATATATATATTCCATTTTATCAATACACAATATGGGACAGTCATTCATGTGCTGGTTTTTTTTTCTATAATAGATCAGAAAAGGCTGCAGATGCTTTTATATGTACAGTGTCAAAAAAGCAGGATTTTGTAGTTGTGTTAGGATAAAAATTGGTGTAATAACATCTGTTAATGATTTTGTTTATGCCATAAAGTTGTGTGCATGAAATAACAAGTTTGCTTTTTTCAATAAAAATTATGACAGTGAATTTTTGATGAAAATAAGCATAGTCTATCTTAAACTGGCATCATTGCAGGAATATCGGGTTTATCTCTATTTTGGCTACAAAAAGGCAAGACATATTATTGTGTTTACAGTTTTATGATATTAATATATTTTTTTGATGCTGTAATATTGCTTGTTTTAATGTGTGGTCTAATACCATATAAAATATTAAGATTAATTATTTTTAGCTACTTTGTATAACTTTACATGTTTTATATATTTTTTATATGTGTGGAGAGAGATATGTATGTAAAGCAGTTCTGAATAAATTGAAACTACCTGAACTTTTTGGGGAAAATGTCAACTTTCTATGGGCATCAAAGGAAAATAAAACATACAATGATAAATTTGGTTTGTTAATAGTAATAAAGTAAAATTTCTCCATGCTGCATCAGGTGTAAGATATTAGTTTTAGGTTTGTTAATGATAAACTTGGTCAACTTTGTTTATTCTGTAATTGTCTAAAGCACAAATCTCCCTATCTGGCTTTTTATTTTATTTTTTTTTTCACTTTTGGTGTACAGATGATTGGAAGCAATGAACACTGGTACACTAGTGGCATTTGGAGCTTACTGACATATATACTGACAGACATCAGATCAACTGAAACATTAGAATAAAAATGTTCGAGACATGTACTAAAGATTAAAAGTCATATGATACTTCATATTAAACAAAATTAATATGTTTTTTATACTTGAATGGCTGAGTTTTACCTAAATCTTCAGAAATTTACTGTTATCGAATTATTGTTGTCCTGTACTCTAATTTGCTGCCAGCTTTTCTGTATGGAGTGACCTTAAACATGACACCTTTCTTTAGAAATTCTACAACCACTTAGCACAAATGCGAGAGAAAAACCATGATGAAATAAAAGATAAACAAATTAGAATGAATATAGTATTAATCGATTCTGTAAGAAGATAAATAATATACCAAATTATTTTCAAAACAACTGTTATGACAAAGTTTAATTAACAAATGCAAATGAATGGAAAATATAAAAATAAAATATATACATTGCTTTATCGTCTCACTAATTTTTCACATGCCATGATTCTGTGACAATAGGTAAACTTCAGCACCAAAACCTTAAAGTTAATTAGCAACCAAAGTTTTCTATCAACAATCACTGAATGAAATATTTTTATGGAATTGTAATAAATGTAAAAAACATACACAGAGGACTTAGTTAAGTATATGTGCATGCATTGGTTAAAAATTTACCTTAACATTATAATTTCCAGAAACTTGTTTCATATGACTTCAAGTTTTAATAAACAGATTTTATGTTCTTTTTTTCCAATTGTTGATACTGAGTAAATTTGTCGCCCCTCATTGAAAGAAAATGAAATTAATATTTATCAGCCAAATAAGAATAAAACTGATAAATTGGCATGCCAGTGTCTGACCATCAGTGTTGCAATCTGATCAAGGATAACGATTGATTCATTAATCCTTGAGCTTGTTTTAACCATTCCCTTTGATTTTTTTCATAAACTCAATTTTCCATTTTCTTCGGAAAACACCTGTACCAAGTCAGGCATATAGCAGTTGTTTTTCATTTAATTGTTCTGTTAATTGATAGCGTTTGATTTTGTAAGTTTTTATGGACTTCCCCTTTTTGAATTTGCCTTCGAGTTCGGTATTTCTGTTATACTTTTCTACCCACTGTGCTCAAAAAAGTAGAAAAAATGGAAAAAGCAAAATGGATGTGAGCTGTAGTGTATATTATTACTCAACATGAAACCATTCTTATTTGCCAAAGACCAACATCATACTCCTTCACACCCTAACGTCTCTATCCTATCTATATATGTTGTCTTATAGTTGAGTTCAGTAAGATATAAGCTAGTAATATTTTAGATGCTAATTTGATAAAATATATTGTCCCTTTCTTGAAGTACCGGTATTAGTGAATGAACTTTAACCCTTCTCCCATGTGAGCACATATAAGTTCCCTTTGAATAAGTTTTTTAATCCTAAAACTATTTTTTTAAATGTGTTGGTATACTTTTAAAGTTTGATTCTGTCATTTTACCTTTGTTTCTCAAATAGTCGTTTCAGTTAAAAAATCCTGCTTTTGTTTCATCAACTTAGCTTGGGATTAGCCTTCTCCTTTCCAAAAGCAAAGTATAATTTGACAGTCCATATGCAAAAACAAAGACTGGGAGCCTGTTTTTTCTAACATTGGACCATCCCCTTTGGAGACACAAATTTAAATTATAACATGTAACTTGTAAGACCATTGTTGTCAATTAACAACAACAATAGCAATTACCTCAGCAAATAGATAACTTCAGTACGTCATTCAGTCCTCTAAACTGTTATGAACATCAGTCTATTGTAAATGTGAAGTTAAATGGTCAAAGTCGAGAAAAATAGCAGAATTTTTTTTATTTTATTTTTCTCAAACTAGATATTATTTATCAGTACTAAATATTTATGGCTCATCCTTGCCTACCTTGAATAGTAAAATGCTTATTTTTAGGTCCTTTTGTCTGAAATAGCTGGAAGTATATCATTTAGGTCATTATGATCTACACTTAACTCTTGGTTGTTATCGGTAAGCATCACCCTTATGTAGAGCACTGATACCTTGTACTGCTTGGCTATACTCTTTGTCCTTTCAGAAATTATTTAATATAAAATGAGCTTTTCAACATTTGTATTAGGTTTTGAATTTATATTTGAGCATCACTGTAGAGACATTTTTGGTGATAATGCCATCTTGTGCAGTAAAATTTGTACTTTTTAATTTTATTGTTAGAAACTGAAACAAATGTGTGTAATTAATTCTTTGAATACTATATATAAGAAAAAAAGGGAAAATGACAAAATCAAGCTCATTTTAAGGTAAATTTTCTTCATCCATGTTATAAACTTCATAATCTAATGATTTTGATTTTAAATTTGTAATTAAATTGATCATTCTTTTTTATATTTTATGCATTTTCTTTGCTTATAATTTTGATTTCACTTTTATTTGATAGCATATATAGGCCAGTTGTTTCATATTAGTTTCTATCTCATCTTTACCCAGGCAATTTGTCTCTATTTCACCACTCCATATTTTAAGATGGGACAAAATTCTGAATTCAATGCATAAAATTGTACTACTAGTATGTTAAGTGTTAATGACTGGTGGAAATTATGAAACACAATGTTGGTCATTAACCACTTACTTATTGCATAGATATAAGAAGATGTGGTCTGAGTGCCAATGAGACAACTCTCAATCCAAGTCATGGTTGCAAAAACAAATTAGTTTTCAAGTGAAGCCTTCCAGATTCAATTTTAATAAAGTTGATATGTAAATAAAAAAGTATTGATTACTCTTATTAGTATCGTATGTTTGTGGTAGTACTCAATTATTGATTACCATTTATTTAAATATTAAAATTCTGTAAAAATAAGATCTAAGTAAGAGACTTTTTATCCCAAATACATTGTATATCCCTTTCAAAACTTCGAAAGCTTCTTAAAACTGCTTTGAATAAAACATTTGTAAAGAAATTATTTGATATAATAATTTTTACATGTTTGAAAATTCTGCTTTTTGTGATCATGACAGATTGGCTGACTTGCAGCATTGAAGGTGCTATATTTAAGATATTCGACAGAGTGTTTCAACAAAAAAACAAAAAAGCTTCAACCAATTTTCATGCAGTAAGTCTGTTCCATTTGAATTTTATGTTGTACAATGTATTATTCAAACCATCTTTATTTTGCGAAGATAAAACAGCTAACTTTAGCTGACTTGACCTTAAAATTTTCTACCACACTATTTAGATTTCAATGTTTGGCAATGTTTTAAACAGGTCTTAATATGAGTAAATTAGAATAGACCATTTGCCTGAAAATTGGTAAGCACATGTGTGGTTTTGTTATAAGGTATGTTTAATATAATCAATGACTAGTATGGTAACATTTACTTAATATCTTGAGTAGTTCACAATTTTTTCATTTGTTTTATATTCTTTTGTAGAGATTGGATGCCTCAACAGCCAAAAGACTGAAAGTTCAGCAAATGATGTCCAAAGATATGGCAAAACAAACTTCTTTCTGAAGTTTTTATGGGGTTTTCTTAAAACAAAATTATCATCAAATGGATTATATCGGTTTTTACCTAAATTTCAGTATTCTAAATAGTGCTCTATATCATTCACAACATTTGTTATTTGAAAATATTCCCAAAAATGGTGATGTTTATCCATTAAATTAATGCTTTTTCATACCTTACTATGGTTCTGAAAACATTTAAAATGAAAGTGTACTAAAATTGAGCATACTTGTTTTATAAGCTAGAAACAAAACATGAATATTTTAAGCCTTTCAAAGAATGTGTAAGAGGTATTGACATCTTCAGTCATGTTTAAGCTTTGTTGTGGAATTGTTTTAAATGAAGCTGCAAAAATTTTATTATAAATGGTCACATCTTATTCTTGAATTATGCTCGATATTTTATGGAAAATTTCAACTTTAGATGTAAAGTATAGACATTTCTACATTTTATTCCTGGGTAAAATCAAGTAATAGAAACTATTTCAACAGTTGTCAATAAATTTTCTCAAAGTAGAATGGCAGAATTTTTAAATCAAAATATTACTGACATCTGAAAAGCACTTTGATTCTATGTAGACAATATCTATTTAAACTTAAATTAAGGGATTACCGGTATTATACTAAGATGTTATGAATTTTAGGAAAGTTCTTTTTAATGTGAATTTTCTGTGAAAGGGAATCAATTTTGGTTGAATATTATAACAGCTTATCTTATGCAGAGGACAATTAAGTGAAATCATTTATTTTTCTTGGTATCAATTTTTTTGTTTGGAGAAAAATGTTATTTTCAGGGTACTTAATTTCATGGTATCTTCATTTGCTCCTATGAAATTTTAAAAATTAGTTTATTGTGGAGTATATATTATTTTGGTTTTCCAGTAACCACGAAATCTACAAAAATTGGTATCCCATGACTCGGCATGAACATTAATAAATCCACAGTATTACAACTGCTATTGACAATATACCTCAGCATTTGCAAGTTAACTGTTTATGATCATTGTTAACATATTATCTCAGTGTTCACCACTCATTGTTAGCAGTTTGGACCAAAGATTCTTCTTGAAGTGTTAACCATGGTCAAGCATGTATTTACTTTTTTCTTTTGTTTTCTGGGAAATTTATACATTTGAACAAACTTTGCTGTCTGTATGATTTGTGTTTATGAAATATGTTGCACTGAATTGTGCTTTCGAAAAAATTTCAGGGTAAAAAGCAAACAGATCAGAGATATTTTATGATCATAATTTTTCATTTATTTTGAAAGACATTTTCATCATTTTTTAGAATGGCATTCTTTTACATAGTTCATTTTTCTACATTTTTATTTAAAAACAGAATAATTCACTCATCTTACAATATGCATTATAACAGATATTCATTTAGAGCTGAAATTATGATAATAGTCTTCCATAGATCAGTTTAATAAATGTAATCATTGAAACAAATCTGCAGGTGACCAAATGGACAAGGGTACTACGTTTTTGAATAGAATCTTATGAGAAATAACTAAAAAAAAACTTCTGGAAAAATTTTCCATGCAAATGACTTTTATATATCTTATTTGATTGCAAGTAGCACCTTTAAACTTTCTGTAATGATAAGTATGCCTGCGACGAAAGTCCCAGAAAGCGAGACATAGGGATTGCTGAGATGGCGTCAACAATTGTTAAGTTTTCTGCTTAAGTTAGTTTGATAGGATCTACTTGTGATAGATCATTGATATTGTATATAAAGTTGCATTACTATCAGTACATATCAGTTTGACGACTTTCTTGAGGCCCTGCCCCCTAGGACATGGTCCAGTTAATTTGAATTAATTAACAGTTTTCAATGTTAAGTTTTTCTGCTGAGGGTTAGTTTAATAGGATCTACTTGTGATAGATCAATTATATTTTGTATAAATTTGCAATACTATCAATACATATACCGTAAGTTTGATGACTATTTAGAGGCCCTGCCCCCTAGGACATGGTCCAATGACTTTAAATTAATTACCAAATTTCAATGCTAAGTTTTCTGCTTAAGTTAGTTTAAAAGGATCTACTTGTGGTAGATCACTGATATGTTGTATGAAGTTGCATTACTATCAGTACATATAAGTTTGATGACTATTTTCAGGCCCTGCCCCCTAGGACATGGTTCAGTGACTTTGAATTAATTAGTCATTTTCAATGTTAAGTTTTCTGCTTAAGTAAGATTGATAGGAACTACTTACAAGAGACAACTATAAAGTTTCATTACTGTCTGTACATCTCAGTTTTTCCAACATTTGTTGACCCGGTCTTTTTCTGAATTTTATGCGGACAAGCGAGACATATCTCTGTGTCAACAGTTTATCTTCACATTGATATCGTAAAATATTACCCATGAGCAACAATATGAACCTTTTTGGTGAGTGAGTGTAGAAAACCTGATTATTGTCCATAACAGGTCTTTTCCCCCTCTTTTAGATAGTTTTACACTGGGTGAAAGTAAGCTCTAGGGGCCAGCTGAAGCCTGCTTCCATCTGCGGGATTTTCTCGCTGTGTTGAAGACCCATTGGTGGCCTTTCTGCTGTTTTCTGCTCTTTGGTCGGGTTGTTGTCTCTTTGACACATTCCCCATTTCCATTCTCAATTTTATTGATTATGTCTTCTCACACATTGTGATGTCGCTGATAACTTCTCCTCAGACATCACTCTTTCAGGCAGTGATTTTGTCGTTTTTTGTGTTGAATACATACATGAAACAGTAACATCATATATAATTAATGTAGTAATCTTGATATCTTGCCATTTTTATCTAATTTTGTTTTATGTAAGAGTTCAATATCTTAACATTTTTGTGTAGTTTTTTTCCCCCCAATACATTTTATGTCTTATCCTGGTAAATAAGTTTGAGGCAATATTTTATATAGATTGATAAAAAAAATCATTTTAAAGGAATCAGGATCTCTGTTCTAAGGTTTGTTTTGAATGTGCAGATTATCCTTATTTCAGAACCTCTTTGGTTTGTATTAGGGAATTGCATTTACTTTCTTTTGGCATTCAAAACATTTGAGGAAGTCAAAGGAGTCATCCTAATTTTTAAACTTCTGTAGAAGAGATGATTTCATTGGTATTGATGTATTTTGCTAGATCTGTACATATAACAGCATATTAGTTTTCAAATATCATAAGAATAAATAAACTGTTAAGTCCATGTTGTAATACTCGTTGAAGATTATTTTATGCATATTTGGATAAACTGTTTTTTACATTAACTGCTTTCCTTTAAATTATGTAAAAACTAAGTATACATTTGTTCTTTTTTTAATTCTAACTTGCCATGGCATTATCATTTCTACTTTATAGATTGAGAGCTGAAATGTGCAATACAAACTTTGAATAATATTCATCATAATATTTATGTTAGATTTTTAGTTATTTGCATATCTGATAGTATCCTTAAATACTTTGCATTACATGTGAATTATTTTTATAAGTAGCCAATGCTTTGTACCTGTATACTTCTACTTTCATACTGAAATTTCAATTGACAAAAAGGAGTTTAAATTAGTAATATTCACAGTTTCTGATAAAGATTTTCCATGTTCTTTATTGGTTTTGTTTTGGTTTCGTTAGTCATCAACTTTTATTTCTTTTCCGTTTGTAGTATTGTTTCAAGTGTCAACCTATATTTGTTCCATCTTACAGAATTTCACCTGGAAACTTTGTTATAAACAATGCCATTACATCTGTTCCTGCTGGAACAAATATTCTATACCCTTTATTCCGTTAGGACTGTACTTTTTGTTCCAGTGGAACTGATAAAACAGTATATTTCCTCCACTTGGAACTTCTATTTCATGACAGTAGAACCACTGAAAAGAAACAAATTTTCAAAATGTACACATAATGCATCAACTTGGAATTTGGTGTCATGTAATTTTGTTTTACATTCTTTGCAGAGACTTGTTAAACCTTTTATGACAGGTTTATAAGTTTGATCATGCTCATATTATTGAAATCAGAGAATGAAATCAAAAATAGATTTGTTGATGAAAGCATTATAATTTTCTGTTTGTTTTTCAAGTCTCTGCTACTGGCAAATGATACATCAAGGTAAGCTAATTATTTCTTAATGAATGTATATCAGCAATATGTGTTACCAAGATGCCATAGCAAATCAATACAAATGCATTTTGACCTTATCCTCTTCTGAAACATTTTGATTTAAAAAAAGATGCTATGTTGTATTTTAATTGATAAAAATGTGTTAAATGCATACATAAGTAAGTTGCCCTGTCAGATGGTTGAAATGTCCAAATGATTCATGATATTATTATTATTTTTGAGGTCACATACCTTTCAAACGCCACCGATGAGTCCAATGTAGATAAAACATGCAAGTGTACTAAATTATATTAAAGCCATCTTTGATGGTTTTTTTTTAACTTTCTATATTTATTTTCGTTCATTATGTTGTTATGAGTTAAATTCATGTTATAAGCTTAAAATACTCAGGAAACATGAGGAAACTTTAGGGACTGTCTCAAAATAGGGAACAAAGTTTACTTGGTTAATTTTGATGGTGTGTGGTTTCAGTTGTCACATGTGAGAAAAAGCAGCTAAAATTGTCAAAAGTAAATTAATATGAAAGAACAAAAAACATGTCTTTAAGTGCACCTCTCTTAACTGTTGTCATTTTATTGGTGCTACATTAACATGGATTTGAAGGGAACTAATTGCAAACCTACTGGTTCCTAGCTGGATATACCCACTGTTAAATTGACAGACACATTGAAAAATATTGACCACTAGTATCAAATTTGTTAATAGATTTTGTTTTGTTAATAGATTTTAAGTTCCATGTATACCACAAAATTTCTGACAAATATATTTGGCAAAGGAGAACATTCAAAAGGCCACTTGTTTGGCCCTTCAATTAAAAAATCAAAAAGTATTACAGATCTACCTAATCACATCCTTCATATTTTCATAAGACAGTCTGTTGGACATCAGTATTTATACTTTTGAATGTTGTCTAACAGATTGGCTTTAGGGCTTCAAACTTCATAGTTGATTGTGGTTGCTAGTTCTGTAATCGGGTACTCTATCAGGGTAAACTTGTATTCCCAATGAATAAAGATAGGTGCTACAACAATGTATGCAAAGTTCTTATTTCCTTTAAGACAGGTGGGTGAGTGGTCAAAACCAAACTAAATCAACTTCATACAAAGAAAATGGGGATATTTTGAAATGGTCTCCATGAAGAAAGATGGAAAATTCAATTCCACTATAATACCCTGGTTTTTATACGACCGCAAAAATTAAAAATTTTTTGGTCGTATATTGGTATGACGTTGGCGTCGTCGTCGTTCTGGTAATACATGCAAGTATTTTAAATTGTAGTCCAATTCAATAACTTAGGAATACATGTACATTTGTTCATATTATCCTCTTTTCTGTTGTGTAGCATGAAATGATGTCACTTGATATATTACTGAAGAGAACACTATTCAAAATTTAAGAAACATATAAATATTTTCCCCTCAAGTGCTACAAAGATGAATTTTTTCTTGAAATTTTCACTGTATTGTAATTCTTAATAAAGTTTTACTTCTATTGAATTATATAGGATTGTTAATTAATATTATTATTCTTAACTGTTATTTACATATTTTATATAGTCATTAGATTTCTTTGTAGTTTATATATGTTATATGAATAAATTAAGGTGAAATGAAAACTGTTTACTTGATTTCAAATTAAAACACATACATCACACATGTTACAAGGAAGAATGGATGATCAATCAACAATTTTAACATGCTAGTTCATGAGGGAAAAGTCCTCAAGAAGGCGTCGCCCTAACATGAAACATTATTCTGGTTTTGAGCTGTCAGGTTAGGTCTAACTCCTTAATGCCACGTGGCAATTAAGTCCTTGGTTTTACCCTGAGAAGTATCTAACCCACGACCTCCCCTTCTCATGGATAGCATGCTACGGCAGTACTACAATACAAGGGATGAATAACAGTTGGAGTATTTCTTAGTCTCATTTGTTGAGCAATTAGTACCTCTTTCTAAGAGTGATCCAAAGAGATGAGGAACCTATCAGCATTAAACACAATACATATATTAGTATATAATGTGAATAAGTTCTAGGGAATTAATATCTTACTGATATAGTTTTCCTATTTGTAAGTAAATCATGATTGTGAGGAGAAACAATTCATTAAAGATAGCAAAATCTCAACACATTTGTATTTTATTTTATCAATGTGGAAAACAACCAAATATACCCAACCAATATAAGATCGTGTAAAAACCCAACATCTTAAAATACTATGAATATTTAATAACAAGAGTGCACATGCTGAAATGTCTCGCCTGCTTTACTGACCATTGATTTTATGTTGAAAGTCTTAAAGATAAAGATTTAACTAAAAAATCACAGAAATGCAGGTCAGATCAATGCTGTCAGACAAACATATACACCTTACAATTTGCTTATGACAATTGAAAAACAGACCAAAACAAAAAAAAAACTTAACATTGAACAATGAACCATTAAAAAATGAGGTCAACGTCAGATGATACCTGCCTGACAGACATATACACCTTAAAACCATTCCATACACCAAATATAGTTGACATATTGCTTATAGTACTTGAGAAACGAACCATACCACAAAAACTTAACACTGACCAATGAACCATGAAAATAAGGTCACAGTCAGATGGAACCTGCCAGACTGACATGTACCCATTACAGTCATTACATACACCAAATATAGTTGACCTATTGCTTATAGTACTCGAAAAAACAGACCAAAACACAAAAACTTAACATTAACCAATGAACCATGAAAATGAGGTCAAGGTCAGATGAAACCTGTCAGACTGACATCTACCCATTACAGTCATTCTATACACCACATTTAGTTCACCTATTGCTTATAGTATTTGAGAAACGGACCTATTTACGTAACTTTAACCTTGATCACTGATCCATGAAATGAGGTCGAGTTCAGGTGAAACCTGTCTGACAGACATGTAGACGTTGCAAGGAATCCTATTCCAAATATGGTTATCCTATTACTCATAATAAGCGAGAAATTCACATGACAATAAAAATCTATTTTTTTCAAGAAGTCGCTGAACCATGAAAATGAGGTCAAGGACATTGGACATGTGACAGACGGAAACTTCGTAACATAAGGTATCTGCATACACGATATGAAGCATCCAGGTCTTCTGGCTTCTGAAATATAAAGCTTTAAACAAATAGTTTACGCCGCCGCCGGATAGTAATACCTATGTCTCGCATACTGCGACTTTCGTCGCAGGCGAGACAAAAAACACCTTTATATACTAATTCTTGATAGGTGTGCTTCGAGAAATTCTACACAAGGTGCCTCTTGCAAGTCTTTTTGTTAACCTGAAAGTATAACTCAATAGGTTAACAACACAGAAAACTACAGTTAACTCTCAGCCATAAAAAAAATAAGGATATGTGGTAGGAATGCCAATGAGACTATCCCTAAAGGCCAAAGATCAAAGATAATGAAAAAAATAACCTCGAAATGTGAATACAATAATTTGTGTAGAATTAAATCTTCTCATTCAGTTTTATTCCTATTTATCGAAGTAACATTGAAAGAACATTGATCAAATTTTGCAAGACAAGGTGATGCAGAGATTTAACTCCAAATAAATTACAAATATAATGAAATGGAATGGCCCAAGATTAACCACAAACATTAAAAAAAGTAAAAATACCAAACCTGTAAATTTAATTGACATTTGCCTCATTGGCAATTATACCACATCTCCTATTTTCATCTTGTAAGAGTGTAGGTAAATAAACCTGCAGAAGCCAGAATGATAATGAATAGATTGTCACACAACATGCAGGAAACAGTTGTGTACAAAGGCGAAAATAAATGTTCCTGAGTCGAAGCTACGGAAAAAATAAGCATGAGTAGCAAAAGAGAAACGAAATATACAAAAGGGATAATCAAACTAATAAGTCGAAAACGAACTGACAATGCCAGGGAAAAAAAAAACGAAAAACGACCAGAAGACAAACCACAGTATACAAAACACAACATTGAAAACTCAAGACTGAGCAACACGAACCCACCTAAAACCGGAGTGATCTCAGGTGTTCCGGAAGGGTAAACAGAACCTGCCCCACATGTGACACCAGTCGTGTTTCTCCTATAAAATACGTTGATAAGTTATATCGATCTGATTAGGCATCACACAATAGCGAGGCCCTACAAACGTTCAAGAACAAATTCTGATGAGGCTGAACACACTCATTTATAGGACAGGTCAGCAAGAGGTGAACTGAAACAAAAACAGATAAATTCGACATCATATCACTCCCTAACGGATATAGTTGTTTTAGTAAACATCGATCAAAGTTTATAAGGAAGTCAGGTGGCATAATCATCATTTACAAATCTGAACTTGAAAAATTCTTACATTTCCGAAAACAAACTCAGAATGTGTATAGTGGATAAAATTTTCAAAAGATGTATTAAATGACAATGTATTAATGGATGTATATATATACCACCAGAAGGATCTAAATACTCATCGGTGGATGCTTTTGCTGAAATTTCTTCATTTGTCTAAACCCAATTTAAAAAGCGTCTTAATAGGGGATTTTAATGCTAAGACATCTACATTACCGGATTATGTTATTCCAGATCAACATTTACTTGAAATTCTCAATACTGATGATACACACACGTTGAATTTATTACTTTTCCGATTACAATGAGCTCTTAACAAACAATATTTCCTTGCGAATATATAGCAAATGTGCATTTAGATCAAATACGTATGGTCATCGACTCCTAGAATTGTGTAAAAAAAAACTAATATATATATTGCAAATTCATGAATAGGTAATGACAAAACCGTAGGAAAAATTACTTGTAATGACGTTAGTGCATGTCGTTGTGCTGATCTTTTTCAAATGACAAAGAATTTCGAAGTAGAAGAATTTAATCCTATCCTATCAGATGTCCACTGTAAACTAAAGTCTACTCTGGAATCGAAACCATATACTAATATCTACAATGTATAAACCGTTGAAAGGCAAGTTATTAAATGGAACAATAATAAGCAAGATAAATTTGTTAAAGAAAATGATGCGCCCGTCGCTTTTTCAAAGTATTAAGTTCAATAACTGCTCAATGTCATATCAGAAATTCATGAAAAACTGAAGAGAGGTTATCTTAATAAATATAAACCAGTCACCAAAGTTTCATGATAACTGCTCAAAGCATTGTCTGAAAACTGGAAAATCCCCCCTTTTTGATGAATAAAATCACATAACTCCGAAACGTAAAATCTAAAATTGATATTAATTGAAAGGGAGCTTACGTCAATAGATATAAACAGTTCACCAAAGTTTCATGAAAACAGCTGAAAGCATTTTTGAGTTATTGTCCGAAAACTGGAAAATCCCCCTTTTTTAAAGGATAAAACCCCACAACTCGGAAACGTAAAATCTAAAATTCATACAAATTGAAAGGGAGCTCATTTCAATAGATATAAACAATTCACCAAAGTTTCTTGCAAGTTGGTGAAAGTGTTTTGAGCTATTGTCCGAAAACGGGAAAATCCCCCTTTTTTAATGAAAAAACCCCAAAACTCGGAAACTTAAAATCTAAAATTTATAAAAAACGAAAGGGAGCTCACGTCAATAGATATAAACAATTCACCAAAGTTTAAGGCCAATATGTTCAAGCGTTTTTGAGTTATTGTCCGACATGTTGACGACGGACGGAAGGACAGACGGACGGACAGACGGACAACGGTATACCATAATACGTCCCGTAAACATGCGTATAAAAACCAGAAATATACAAAACACAATGATAAACCATGGTATAAAAGAGGATGCAAAGGAAAAAGAAATTTATTTCATCAGGCTAAACAAAGATACGGGAACTTAAAATGTGAAGAAAATAAAAAGGCTCTGAAAGAAGCAAGTAAATCTTATAAAAAAGGAACTAAATCGGAGTTATATTGACTTCCAAATGAATACCGCAAAAGATCTCAGAAAACTTGCCAAATTTGATCCAAAACGGCTTTGGAAAAAAACTGAAAAGTATAAATACCAACAAATCAAATAAAACTGATGCTGTTGAAATTGAAGGTTTATATGAACATTTTAAACGTCTAAGCCAAGATGATTTAACTGAAGACAACTCAGAGATAGACTTAACAAAGGTACCACCAGAGAACATTGACAGAAGTTTTAATTCTCCAATCACAAAAGAAGAAATTTTGAATGTCGTCAAAAATCTTTATAATAATAAGGCTTCCGGATATGATGGCATTGTGAATGAACATATTAAACATACGGTTAAGGAAATGTTGCCCATCTATCACAAGCTATTACTTTAGTGTCGTGTCTAGGGAAAACTTTTACATCGATCTTAAATGAACGGCTAGGGGAATTTTCAACTGAGATCAATCTGATTTCCGAAGCTCAAACAGGATTTAGAAAAGATTATAGCACATTGGATAATATCTTTGTATTACATTCATTCAGGGGCGCATCCAGGATTTTAGGTTAGGGGGCGCATGTTTATGAGGAAAAATTATCGAAATATTCTTTATTAAGCTGAGGACAACCCATGCTTTGCAAATTTTAGGGAGGGCGCACGCCCGCCACGCCCCTGCCTGAATCCGCCCTGAATCAAGCATTAGGAATGGGAACGAAGTTTCAGCCGTTTTTAACTGTAACATTGGAGTGAGACGGGGAGAAAATTTATCCCCCTTTTTATTCGCTGTTTATCTCGACGATCTTGAATCTTTCTTTGCTGAAAATGATGTTCAGAGCTTGCAGGTTATGGAAAACATTTGCCGCAATTATTTGCATATCTATATAAAACTATTCGTTCGTTTGTATGCCGATGACACTATAATTATATTTGAAACGGCCGAATCGATGCAGCAAGCCTTAAATGTTTTTGAAAGATACTGTGTCCGATAGAAGTTAAACGTTTATGTATCGAAGACAAAGGTAGTTGTGTTCTGCAAACGGAATTTACGAAAATTAACAAAGTTTCAATTATTTAACCAGTCTATTGAAATTCAAGATTCTTATTCATATCTAGGACTAACTGTTCATTTGCTACAGCAAAAAACGTCTAAGCGAACAAGCACAGAAAACATTATTTAGCCTTCATACAAAGACACGTAACCTCTCAGTACCTGTTGACTTGCAATTACAACTGTTTGGTGCACTTATACTTCCCATTCTGACATATGGGAGTGAAATATGGGGACTCGGAAACAATTACATGCTGGAAAAAAATCAACTACAGTTTTGCTGAAATGTGTTAAAAATTAGATCCTCGACACCAAATTTTATGACATATGGATAACTTGGTGGTACACCAAAAGATACATAATAAAAGTTAGAACGGTGTGATTTTGGAATTAACTTCTCGCCAATGAAAACAAACTAAGCAATATCCTGTATCAAATAATGTTCAACTTAAAAGATGATTACACGTTCAAGTGGATTGACTACTAGTATCTTAAATCGATTTTAGACATTCTGGACTTAGCTATGTTTGGACTTAGCAATTGCCAGTAAATATAAATCAATTGAAAAACGTTCTGAAACAAAATCTTAAAGATGCATACATTCATGGTATATAGATATAAGAAGATGTGGTATGAGTGCCAATGAGACAACTCTCCATCCAAGTCACAATTTGTAAAAGTAAACCATTATAGGTCAAAGTACGGCCTTCAACACTGAGCCTTGGCTCACACCGAACAGCAAGCTATAAAGGGCCCCAAAAATGACTAGTGTAAAACCATTCAAACAGGAAAACCAACGGTCTAATCTATATAAAAAACGAGAAACACTTATGAACCACATCAAAAAACGACAACCACTGAACATCAGGTTCCTGACTCAAATTGACAATTCTTTCAAAGGTGAATTTTACGGTCTGTTTAAACCAAGAAAAGTATCTTGTACAATTATCACCAATCGAACGTGGATATATTTCTAAATTAAGATGCTGTAATGTGAAAATTCCAGTAGAGCTGCCTGGATAGATGGTACAATATCCCGAAAGAAGAGAGGGTATGCAATATGTGTTCGAATATGCTATTGGTAACGAATACCATTACTTATTCGAATGCAATTCTATCTTAGTAAAAACATCAGAAATCAACACATTCCTCAGTACTATGTTAAGTATCCCAGCGCAGCAAAAATGAAAGGATCCAATTACTATCATTGGGTAATATAAAGGTACTAAAAAATGTATTTTTATTCGTTTCAAAGTTAAAGTATTATAGAGTATAGTAATTATAAATATATTTCATTTTAGAGTTGTTTTATTTCTTTTTATGATTGTATGTGATTGTATTTTGTATATGTTTACCTCTTGTTTCACATGTGAATGTGACAGAGTGTTTTTAAATAAAGCATATTATATTATTGTATTGGTAATTGACGCATAGCAATAGTTGAAAATCATTCAGTCAATCCACGAAAAATCCTCCTGCCCTCCCCCTCGAATACCACATGGTATCTAAATATTAATGACAATCTATTTTGGTAGCATTTGCAGTTTTGCACAAAATGCAAGGAGTTGGAAGCCCTAATGTAACGATGTAAGACATAATATTTCATTGAGAAATTGAGCTAAAAAAATGTTAAATTTAGATTTTTTATAGGCGCCATAAATGATCAGAAATTGACATTTTTGAATGCTTACCCAATTTTATTTTTTTTTGCAAATTGTTGTTTATACCTGTACTATCAAGAATACAATAAGGTGCAATAAAATTGAAATACGATGTTTAGATATAGACAATTAAATGTTATGTGATTTTTAACACTTTTCAAAATTCAAAAATCCTTCTATTTCAGGTTGCCATAGCAACGCTTCAAAAACATTAAATTGCTCAATGCTGTGCAAATTATATCAAGGCAAGATGTCCTCTTTACATTTTAAAGTTGAGAAACTACTTGTTTACTGTGTTGATTTCCTGCAACTTCAAAACAAGAACCGAAGCTCATCAACTCGGCAGGACTTCGAGAAAGTTTGGAGAGCCGACAACCTTGCTTATGAAGTTAGATTTCCTGCTTACTAATTTTCAAAAATGCATATTTTGTGACGTTTTTGGGTGGTATTTTGTCATGTAGCTCAGCAAATGAATTTTTTTGCCATTGAAACCAGTGGATTCGAAACGATATACCATTTTTATTTGTTTAGTGTAACATTATACATGCTATACATGCAGGGCTGTCAAGTTTTTATGAAGCAAATGCGTGAGATTTGGCAAAAATTGTTAAGATCAAAGAGAAAAAACAATTTCAAAGGTAAAGGAAAATGCGTCCAAATAACGGTGGAAATACGTGAGTAAATTGCGTGAGTCGACAGCACTGTTAAACACTCGGGCGGGGACGGGCTGGGTGCATGGTCCTATATGCAAGGTGATAGGACGTGCCGCTTAAATAGGTCAAATTTTCTAGCTTGAAAATATGTTAATAGGTAGGGGAAAACTAACAGAAACAGTGGCGTAGCTAGACTTATAATGATCTGCACGCAGAAGTTGCAGAGCGTAGCGAGGCAAAAACATTTCGCCGAGCGGAGCGATGCGAACAAAAATTTTGGACCCTTTTTTTTTACAGAAAATGAATCTTTTTTCGATCTAAGATGGTTAATTTTGAAGTGAAGTATACACAGTTGAGTGTTTTGCAATACTAGTATATCAAATCAAAGACCTAAAACTGACAAAAAAATTCTTAAAACTTTGCAATGCTCGCCAATTTATTATGCTTCAAAGAAACAAAGGGCTAGAGAACTGGATCATCTCATGACATATATGTTAACATACGAAAACAAAGCAATTCAAAACTGAACTGATAGAAAACACGGAAACCTTTCTGACAAGTTGAAACACCTATATATATAAAGTGACAGTCAATCGCACTCTTTCTTTTTTGACTGCTATGATTATTTAATTATGATTTTTTTGGGGGCCATTTCGTTTGTACACGCAAGTGCGTGGTTGCGTCAATGGTAGCTACGCCACTGAGAAATATATGATAAGGTCAATAAAGTCCCCATTACTTGGATTTGGTGGGTGGGTTGCTGTAAGTACCGGGCGGTACTTTTTAGTTTTTTGTTTGTATTATTTGTTAATTCCTCTTCTGTCATCTTTCTTAGTGTTCCAGGTTGTGTTTTTATCCACAATTTTTACCTCTTTTGACACTTTGTTTTTTTCCAACACACCACACGAACCCAACTTGACCAATATGGGAAAAAGGTTACATTTTTACCTACGCAATGAAAAGGTATACATTTTTAAAATCTAAATTATATTAAAAGGTTGGGGTAACAAAACCTCTTACGAGAGGCGTAAAGGGGGGGGGGGGGTTATCTGCACGGAAGAACGCGAAATAAAATTGCCATTTCACGATGAACGAACAATTAAAAATTTCTTGCACGTTGATCTTTTTACCGATTTCACGAAACACGGTGAATAACGAACCTTTTTCACGGATGCACGTGAAATAAAAATGGCAAAACACGTTGCACGAAAATAACCCTTTACCACCCTCTATTACTTATGGGGGTTTTTAACGACCTTGACTGGCTATATTAAAAGCCCTCGCACTGTAGCAACCTCATCGGCACCCCTATCAATTAAGAATTGAAGTGCCAATTTTCCATTCAAAGCTCAGTGACATGGCCAAATAAATATTCAAAGTGTTTTATCTTTGTTCTATTTTGTTTTATATTAAATACGGACAGGGAGATGGAAATAGCAAGTTACATGAAAATATCTTTTTTTATAGGGGAAGATAATCGCATTTCAAAAGGTACGGCTTTTGCGACAATCAGAGAGTTTACGTCAGCGTTGCCTGAAAATGTCGTCACATCCAGGGAGTCGGAGGTTTTCTAAAAGAGGAGGGAAATTTACACGGCCGCAGTTAGAAATTGTTCGAAAATATTTACAAACAAAAGAAAATCCCGATAGACAATCATTGTTAAACGCCAATTTTGAATGGGACAGTAGTTCGGATGGCCCGCTAGTGCGATTTAAGACGGCATGTAAACGTCTCCGTTTGAACGACGAGAATATGCTAATACACATTACAGGGAAAATTGTCATCCCTGTGGAAGAATTCATTTCTACAATACAAAGAGCCCACAAAGGAGAGAAAGAGGATGAACATTTGCATTTTTCTGGAACACTCAAAAGGGTATGAATTAACCTCATAAATTACCTATCGTCCTATCTATAGGAAACACGTTCTCATCTAAAATTAGAAATTCTCATATGCCACTTAACTGATTTTTGTGTGAAAAAGCTACATCTTTTGGGGTGATTGATATATTTCGTGTTAAAAAGTCACTGTATAGCATTATTAATATTTGTCTGTCATTTTTTTGCAAGATTTGTGGTCTTTTTTTGTAAATGCGAATCCAAAACTTCATCATTTTATCATAAACCTTTTTCATAGGATGCTAGAATGAACTATTTCAACACCCAGGAAATAGTTGAAGCAAATAAACCTTAAAAAATTTCTCATTCTGCATTTTTGTTATACTTTTATGCCATTTTTGAAATATATACATAACATAGCATTTGCCCATCTTTATTTCAGATGTTTCAATGAAAAGTATGCTAAATTCAGTCTTTTTTCTCTTACTTGTATTTGTCAGGTCTGTATGCCTGCATACCGACCTGGTGTATGCTAAACCCTCACTCTATGTGTATACTAGAATTTGTCAGGTCGGTATGCCAGCATACCGACCTGGTGTATGCTAAACTCTCACTCTATTCATATACTAGTATTTGTCAGGTCTGTATGCCTGCATACCGACCTGGTGTATGCTTAACTCTTACTCTATGCGTACAAATGTATACTAGAATTTGTCAGGTCTGTATGCCAGCATACTGACTTGGTGTGTGCTAAACTCTCACTGTATGCGTATACTAGTATTTGTCAAGTCTGTATGCCTGCATACCGACCTGGCGTATGCTAAACTCTCACTTTCTGCGTATATTAGTATTTGTCAGGTCTGTATGCCTGCATATAGACTCAAATTATTATTATTTTGGCATTTTTCTGCCAGGTACTTGTATGCCTGCATGGATTCTAAAATTTTATTCTGGATTCATGTTTGTATTGGCAAGTCTGTCTGCCTGAATGCTAAGCATTTACTGTGTAGTAACATTTCTTATTTACTAATGTTTGCATAACCAACCCCCATAGAAAATAAGGAGATGTGTATGATTTTGAAAGAGACATACAAATGTATCTCCATCAAACATGTCAAAGGCCGAATTACATCGATGTAAGGAATTACTTATGTATAGCCTTCAACTTCGTTTGAATTTGAAAGAAAGCTCTCAATTCTTAACTGCAACACTCAGGGGTTTATTCCTGTATATCAACCCGCTTTTCAATAAACTCTTGTAAAAAAATGGAATTCATAGGTTTGGTTGTCGGCATACCGACCTATAGTCCTATACACATTGGAACATAAAAGTTTGCATATTTGTTTGACATTTTCAGTTCACGGTATTCTTGCATACAACACTGGTGTACGGTGAACACTTATTTTTTTTTACTTGGATATATACAAGATTTGATTGCCTGTATACCCACCTATGTTCTATTAAATTCTAGTTTTACATACATTTTAGTATTGTCAAACCAAGCTGGTGTTCATTGAGCTAGTATATTTGTGTAGGGTTTGCCTCCAGTCTAAAATTTCTGCATATTTTGTGGCACTTATTGGATATTTAGCAAGCTGAATGGTTTGCATTCTAACCAGCTGTATGTTGTACATGTATTCATATTTTAAATTGTAAAACTATTATTTTTCATCATGCTCTAAGTTAGTAACTTCAAGCATTGTGTCAAGAGGGGCGAAAGATACCAGAGGAACAGTCAAACTCATAAATCGAAAATAAACTGACAACACCATGGCAAGAAAAAGACAAACAGACAAATATTAATAGTACACAAGAAACAACATAGAAAACTAAAGTCTGAGCAACACGAACCCCACCAAAAACTGGGGGTGATCTCAGGTGCTCCTGAAGGGTAAGCAGATCATGCTCCACATGTGGCACCCGTCGTGTTGCTCATGTTATTACAAACCCGGTAAATAGTCTAATTCGGTAAGTCACATTCATGAAAAGGGAAGGGGATTGTAGTTACGACGTAAGAAACATATCCGATATCATCTGTGAAACGGTTATTCCATAACGGTCAACCAACTCGTGATGGCGTCCGTATAATTTACGAAGGGATGATTTCAACTTCACCATTTGGAACTCTTGGTTAGAAATTGATGGAGAGAAAATGAAACTGTCTTAAAATCTGATATAGTTGGCAATATGCATACTAAATAGACAGTGATACAGCAAAGTGTTTAAGTCATTGTGTTTGCATCTCTGCCTGTCAACATGGTGTATGCCAAAGTTCTTGTTTTTTTTTAATGCTTTTAGGGGGATGTCTGTATACAATTTGCTTTACAAAGATGTATGCCAAACATGCATACATGTATTTTAATTATCGGTAATGTAAACAATTTGCAATGATCTGTCTTCACTGCATATCATAAGTCGATATCTAACTGGATTAGCTAATAGATATGAAAATTAGTGAATTTATAGCATTATACTATGGTAAAAATTGTTTATAATGGCATATTATACACTGGAGTTGTAAAAATAAATCCTTCAATCAGGAAAGCCAAAGAATTGATGCTTTTTCTACATGTTCTAGGTGTCGTCCTTTTCTAGTGAAGCCATTTTTACTTTATTAGCAGGAACAGCAAAAGGTCAGGTGTTGTTCATTGATGTCGTAGTTTTCTAGGAAGGCATTGGTTTAACCTATCCAGTCACTAAGAAGTGTTACAATTCAATTCATAAGCAACACATAAATAGTTACATGAAAGGTATAGCCACTGTTTGAAAAATGCTGAAACGAGAAATGGAAACTACATATTATATACATATATATATGTGTGAATATTATACACTTCACAACTTTAACATTATCACAATTACTGATTTTTTAATTTATATGAACTAAGGGTTCTTAGTGGTTGAATTGAAGTCGTTCCCTTGAAAGTATTTTTGTCGCCATGCATCTGATTGAAGATCAATGAAATATGTCATTTCCTTATTAACATTCATTTTTCCAATTTGAACACTCTTGAAATGTGCTGTTCTGATCCTTTCGCAATAAATGTATGTTTAATTTGTTTGAATTACTTCTTTTTTTGTTTTTTATTGCTCACTAAATTTTAAAATTTTCTGTCTGTCTTTCGATTTTGTTGATAGCTTTTCATATTACCCTGTTACAGTAACAGCTTCTTACATACACACATCACAGAATGCTGCAGTGATCATGTGACAAATGTACTGTACAGTTTTCCAAAACAAGGACACATCATACAACCTCCTTGTAAAAATAAGGAGATGTGGGATGATTGCAAATGAGACAACTATCCACCAAAGTCCAAATGAAGTGGATGTAAGCAAGTATAGGCAACTGTACGGACTTCAACAATGAGAAAAACCAATACTGTATAGTCAGATGATAAAAGGACCCAACATGAAAAATAAGAAACAATAATTTATAGCAAAACAATTTACGAAAAAGAAATACGACATACATGAACCAATGACAACTTCAACTACAGGCTCCTGACTTGGGACAGGGACTAGTGTGGCCGGTTTTAACATGTGAGCGCTCACCCCCCCCCCTTTTTACCTTGGACTTTTGTTTCCCTAAAAGTTGTTAGAATAAGACCTGAATGGGTTAACTGAAGGGCATTGGCCATGCATTTTGAAACTGGATAGGGGCTGAATTTCAATTTTTTTTAAATCCGGGAGACTTTAACTCAGTGGCAGATCCAGAAGTTTCATAAGGGGGATGGGCTGGGGAGGGCACTGACTTCCTTAGAAATGGACCGCTCCAGTATTGTTTCCCTCAATAAATCAACTAAATTTTTCCCACAAAGCACCCCTTAAAATCCTTAAAATTGTAACTAATGCAAGGAGACATCACTATGGATGTACACATAATCGTATTTCCCATTCATTTTTTCTCTAAATACTTTCAAGGGGGGTGGGGTGGTAGTCCAAATACTTATGACGTCTTGCAAGGCTATTTTTTTTTGGGGGGGGGGGGGTAGTCCAAATAATTATGACGTCTTGAAAGGCTATTATATTTTTTTTCTTTGACGCCTTGGGATCAAAAAAAGTCAAAATCGAAAAATACCCACAGCAGACGGCATGATTATCTGGACTAGGGGGGGGGGGGGGGGGGGGGGGGGGGTAGCTTGATAGTAAAACAGCAGTAAATTTCGCCACATGATGTCTAGCATGAAATTGATTGAAGTGAACAAACCTCTTGAGAAAACAAACTTAGCGTAATCAATAATCTTGTATTATAGTTTTCAAGCCGGATTAAATCAGTCAGTCACTTCTAAAAAAAGAGGGTGTTCTATGAAATTCGTGGAAAATGTACAAAAACAGCTAGGTTTACTTACCGTAAATGTATCTGACATTCTGTTTTGCTTCTGGTATATTAAAATTTAGATAATAGAGCGTATTTTTCAATGAATTGTCCATTTTCTTCTCCGTGACGGGAACTCCTTCATTGATCATTCACATTGTTTACATTTGTAAATGACGTCATATAGGAGTGCGTGACATAAGGTGTTATTAGGTCATTCAACGCAGATAAATAGTCCATTTGTTCTTTGACTTTTTATCATTTACCAATACAAAGTATAAAAAAAACATTTTGTTTTGTAATCAATTGCTATTATTTTAATTAAGTGTACTGGTAAAAAGTAACTCGCGTAAGTCAAGTGCTATCCGTCTATAATTCCCTCCGCCTTACGTCAGAAGGTCCCTGACGTCATTTAAAATGTTGTCAACAACTTGGAACCTTGTACAAATTATGATCGCCTCATTTTTCCGTAATTTTGATTTGCAGAAAACAGATAACTGTCATGTCTATAAAGTGATCATAGTCGTGGAACTTGAGAATCGGTTTTCATTTTTAGATTTACAACAGTAAACGCTTTACCGGTTTGCCTTGCAAATTAACGCTTTTCTGTTTACCTATCGGGAGAAAATATAGAGGTCAGTGGTAGACTTTTAGTTTAAAAAAAAAAATCGAAATCAGTGTTAAAACACAACTACTGAAGTAAAGGATTTTTTGGAAAC